TCAGGCTCATGCATTTTAATTAAAGACTTGGGAGGAGTGAAGGAAAGTGGAGTCTGAGACAATTTTATAGATGAAGATGGACTCTCTTGCTGCTTTCTATATATGACAAATAAATGTTTTGGCATTTAACATAGATAACACACAATTCTTAACATCTCAAAAAAAGAAAAAAAAAGTAACCTTTTTTTTACTTTCAAAGAGTGAAATAAACCTCTTCATGCTTGGTGAGGATAGTCATTTCAAAGTTCTTTTAAACATAATAATAATGATGATGATGATGATGATTACTTTCAAAGAGTGAAATAAACCACCTTCAACCGGGCGGCCACAACGGGCTTGCCAAAATAGGTCAGTCGAAAAGTCACCCTGGCCGACCATCTCTAGCCGAGTGGCCACTCTTGGCCAGCCAAATCAGTCCAGCCGGCCGACCACATTGGGCTAGCCAAATTAATCCAAATTGCTGGCCACCCTGTCATTTGCGCCATGGTTCTTATGAGTCCAAATTTTTAAAATAAATATGAATTTCTCAAAATATATGGATATTTTCAAATCATTTGCTCCATGGTCCCTGTGAGTCCAAATTTTTACTCAATTTTTGATCCTTTTAAATTTATTTGTGTATGAAAAATACTTTATTTTATTTTACTTTTTCTTTGTTTATATATATATATAATATATATATATATATCGTTTTCCAGAACAAATTTCATGACAAGGCCTTAATTTAAATTTATAATTATAGCAAGTTGAAATTCGATTTGAATTATATTAAACAGCCATATAATGTTTGGTTAATTCATCCATTTATTTCTTGATTTATTCAAATCATACGAAACCTAATTCCTCTAAATTATTAGCTCAACATGCCATGTAATATTTGTCTCAATATGCAGGACAAAAAACTTTGAAATTGAAAGGCTTGAAGTTTTCAACATTTTAATAAAAACCTTTCATTGTTAATGCAATCATCATCATCATCACAACTTTTCAACCTTGTAAGAAAAATATATTTAATTGTTAATGTAATCGTCGTCATCACATCATCATCATCATCATCATCATTATTATTATTATTATATTTAAAAGAAATTTGAAATGGCTATCCTCACCATGCATGAAGAGGTTAGAAAGCAGCAAGAGAGTCCATCTTCATCTATAAAATTGTCTCAGACTCCCCTTTCCTTCACTCCTCCCAAGTCTTTAATTAAAATGCATAAGCCTGAGTTTTTTCCAACTGCCTCTTTTCTTCTCCTTTCCTTAACGTTTTATGTCAAAAATGTGGCAGCCTCTGCTTGCAATTATCATCACTTTTGTATTCAGGTGCCTGTAGCTTCAGCAGCAACAAGGGAGGGAGATATGACACTTTTTATTGCTTCACTATTTTCGCTTATTGCTATTTTTGCAAACATGTTCTAAATGATTTGGATCATATGTAATACTGATCATATAAATGTTTTGGGCATTATTATGTCTATATATCATGTTTGTTCTACTTTTCTCTCTTTTTAGCTTCAATAAAGTTGGCCCAAATTATTATCATATTTTGCAGTGTGATTTTAATTTCTAATTGAATATAAGCCCTAATAGAAGTAGAAGCTTGCCGCTTGCACCGTTCATGCTCGTTGGACCAAATCACCACACAATTGCACCGTCCCAGTCGGCAACATTGCTGCTTCCTCTCTATCTTTCTACCCAAACTAGTTTAAGAGAACAAAAACAAAACAAAAATGATAATTTCAAGTAGTTGCATGAGTTGAGGAGGCGAGAAACTGTGGTTTGTTTATGTGAAAGTATAATTTGAAGTAGTTGTATGTGTGTGTATCTTTATATATATAACAAGAAAGAAAAACTATAGTTGTCGATTAATTTGAAGATGTCATATTTGTTTGATAACCGGCGAACTACAGTTGTCGGCTAATATTTGCTTATGGTTGATTGGTTATTCAGTCGGTTATAATTAAAAACGGTCAAAAATAAAATATTATTGACAGCGACGGTATATGTTGTAGTTATGTCTTCGCAAATAACAAAGATATGTAAATACGAAAGAATTGAGTGGTATGCATGTAAAACGTTCATAAATATTTGTATCTATCAGCCATTTCAATTTTATTCTGAATAAAATAATAACAATAATTACATCAACAATTAAAGATTTTAAAAAAAAAAAAATGTAGAATAGTTCAAGCCTTTGAATTTCAAGCTTTTTAATCCGACATATATGGAAACAAATATTGTAAGGCCCCTTACAGCTAATAATTTACTATTTGACAGCTATATTAATGCTTGGAAAAAAAACAAAACTTAAGCATATATCATTTTTTTAAGGGAAATTTTTATAACTACCCCCCAACGATTCTTACATATCTAACCCCTAAACTTTCATATTTACATACCTAACACTTTGGTGTGATAAAATTCCACTTTCAAAAAATTAAATGTAGTGATATTATCGAGTTATGGGGAAGAAGGAGAGGGGCTAATGAGCCCCCTTGGATAAAGTGACCAAATCGGGCCAGCAAAATAGTCGGTTGACCAGTCACGTTGGCCGACCATCTCCAGCCGACCGGCCATTCTTGGTTGGCCAAATTAGTCCAAATGGCTAGCCAAATCAGTCCAGTTGGCCGGCCACATTAGGCTGGCCAAATTAGTCCAAACTGTCGGTCAACCTATCACGCTACCTCCAACTGGTCGACCACATCCATGGTCGACCATCACTAACCGCTGGCCGTCTTTAGCTAACTGACCACTCTTAGTCGGTCGCCCAATGCTGATGAGCTTCAACGGCGGGAACCCTCGAGATCGACAAATTCGACAAACTGGAACCCTCCATACTGTACATATAAAATATGTCAGCATGAATCTCAAGACAGATGAACGGTTAAGGAGAAAGAAATAGTCAAACAAACGCAGTTGTTGATGACCGTTTCGGCTGGACAACAGCTAGAGGGGCGTCTTGTTTGGGCGATAGGCCGAGCGTGCCTGGAGATTTTTCGCATGGTGGTGATCAACTCTCAATACGATCAAATCCTTTCAGATTAAATATCGATCAATTTGAGTCTTGTAGAACGATCGGCGAACTCTTATCAAACGATTCAGTCCCTCGATCATATTACATGTGAATACCTCTGTAATTATTAAAAAATCCCTTTGAAAAGTCAATGATGAGGGGGCAAATATGTACTTTTATAATGTTGGAACCTATGTCTATAAATAGTGGTTCTATGATATGAATAAAGGCTACACTCTCTTTACTACTCCCTACGGTGCTCTCGTATCCTAAAGCTTTCTCTCTCTTAACGCTATATACCTTGGGTGTATTCTCCAGACACATCGGGATTCAACATCCTTAAAGTTGCGATTAACGTGGAAATGTGTCATCAACAAGAAGAGGAGCTCAACAAAAACAACCGGGATAATCCAGCCAGAGGAACGCAACAAAAGCAACATGCACTTGGAAGTTCATGGAAGAATTCATCTAGCAAGGCCTGCAAGTCTAAGGGCCCACAAACGAATGACCAAGAGACCACGAGTGAAAGATCAAAAGCCCAGCAGCAGAAGGCTAATGGTCACCATTTGAAGGATAAGCGTTCACTAGTGGAATACCAAAAGACCTGTCCTACCAGATGCAACCCCCACACGCTGAGATCGAAGACCGACCGAGCAAAGGTTATCCATACCAAAGACTAAAGTCTATCTAGCTAAGTGGAGGCATCAACCTTCGTCTTGTCATACCCTAACTAAAGGAAGAATGCAGCATCCCCAACTATATCATAGATGCCTTGAGATTCCTCATCAGGGTCCGAGAACTAGCCATCACATAATCACATGAAACATTCTTATAGGATCGCTTCGTCAAGGAGGAAACTATATGATATATTACGGTGATTCACCTTTTGTCTTATAACCTAGCCTTGCCCTATCGACAGGGATTCCTTGTCCAGAGCTGAGAATTAGCCATCACATAACCACACAGAACATCCTTAAAAGATCGCTTCATCAAGGAGTAATCTATTTATCGAATTACAATGATTCACCCTCTGTCTTATAACCTAGTCGTGCTTTTTCGACATGAATTCCTTATACAGGGATTAAAAGTCGGTAACAAGACTAGCATAGCTGACCAACAAAACTATGCTGACTGAGTCAATTCTTACCGACCCAAAGATTGTTAAGGGTCAATCGACAACCTTGATCCAGCATAGCCTGATGAATAAGTCTCATTGAACCAAGACCGAATAATCTCAACTGACCGAATCATGGGATAGTCGAACCAAAGGCCTCAATATGCAAAATATCTAAAATATCATGCAACGCCTCCCATTAAAGAAGGGGCAGAAATGTAATTTCATATATTGCACCCCCTCCTTTATAAATAAGGAGATCATTTCCTTGGAGCGCTAATCAATAATTCAAATTATTATCCACTACTATACATTTCCCTCTTCATCTCTCTTTCTCTCTCTCGTCTTACGCTCTATTCTTTGAGTGTGACTCAAAGACAAATCATGATTCAACATTATTATTGATGTAATTTAATTATTTATTAAAATAGACTAATTTTAAAAAAAAATCATGTGACAGAGAACGACTAGTTTTGTGTGTGTGGAAAATTTGTTTTAGAAAAAATAATGTACATACCACACAATTCTCATGTACTTGCATATCTAAAACTTAAGGTTTGATATTTATACTTAGAATACTTTTGGAGTTAAAAATTATATATAAAAAGGCCCGTTTCTTTTTAAAAAAAATTTAATGAATATGATTATTTTTATGAATTTTATAAATTTTAGTGATATATATATA